GGGGGGGGGGGGCACACAAAAACCGAAACCTTCCTCCCACGGAGGTTCCCTCATACAGAAGCCTGCTCTACAGTTTGCCCTGATGCTAGGGACACGACAGCTGACAAGACAAACAAGGGCTCTACTTCTCGGAACAGAGATGTAAAAAACAGATCTGGAGTCGGCAGATTTAGGAAAATATAAATTAGCAAAAATAAATTCTAAAAGAAACAGAAAACAACAGAATGAGGTGGGCCCTCTGTGCTCCCCACTCGGATCAGGCTGAGCACCTGCCCTCACTCCTGCGGTCAGTAAACAGCAATCACAGAACAATCACGCACCTAGTAGGTGTCGGGCGCTGTGTCGAGGTGTCCAAACCTGGGCAGGTCCCAGCGTATTCAGCTGTTTCTGTCCCTCTACCCAGACAATAAGCCAGGGCATATTTCTTGTTGGATAAATCCTGTGATGCAGAGGCTGCTGGTACAAAGGGAAGTGAACAGAGTCCTGTTCCCCCCTATGCCCAACCTCAAGGAGCCTCCTGCAGGGGGGTTCTCATGATGGATAGCCTGTTTCCTTCTCCAAACCATCTGGCGAAGCATCTGTCCAGATGCCAAATTAATTCTACCATAAAACACATCCATTTCTTCTGTTTCCCTATCAGTAGGGGAATGGTGAGTGTTTGTGGGAATGAGGCAGGGCAGCAGCAAGGCTCTGTGAGGGGAGAACCTCTGGGTGGGGCCCAGGGCCTCCACCCACTTCCCCTCCAACCCAGGCTGAAAATGCTTTTGAGGGGATGCCAAGATCACACTGATGGTTAGATTGCAGGATACAGACTGTCCTGAATGCTGTGCTGTGCCACCCAGATCCCCCTTCAGGACCAAAGGACCCCCCTTGCTGCTAGATGAAGAGAGCTTCTTGCCCAAGCTCACACCTTCCCAGGTCAGCCAGGGACCAGTGACTGGTCAATGCAGGGTAAACACTGGCTCCCTCAGCCCAACTCAGACAACTCTGAAGGGCCATCCCAGCTTCAGAGCTCCCTGCGGGGCTCACTGAGGTCCACCTGTGCCTGCACTGTAACCCAACTTCTCCTGCCTGGTCCTACTTCCTTCCCTTCCCCCATAGGTGTGGGTCCCAAGCACAGTCCCCAATAAACTCCCTGCAACTCAGTGTTTCCCAGAGAACCCACCTGCACCAGCAGTTGGGGTGGTCTGAAAGAGTAGGAGCTACAACGGAATTTGGGAGCTGGATGACTCACTGCCCAGGGAACAATGAGGACCCTATCGATGGGGAAGCACTTAGATTGTTCAATTTTTCACCAGTAGTAAAATGGAATGGTTGGGCACCCACACGATCCATGTGGGCCCTTCTACCCCGGCTAACAACCCCAAATAGCCATCCGGCTTCAGAGCTCCCCGAGGGGCCTGCCAGTGACCCGTGTCTGCACCGTAGCGAATGCTTCCTCTGCTCAGTCCTGCATGCTCCCCTTCCCCCAAAGGAGTTGGTCCTGAGAACACTCCCTACGAAACTCCTGCACACTAGTTGATAATGTATTGTTTATCCCACGGAAGCCAATCCGAGCGACTAAGAGTGACTTTCGCCCAAGGCACAAGCTGTTTATTTCTGGATGTCGCTCTTTTGTTGAATCTAATTCCGGAAACCCTAGGTGCGTACGTGAAGTGGGTCCAGCAAGCTCCTGGCCCACATGGTCAACTTAAACCCCAGGGAGGCAGGTGTTCCTTATCCATTCAGGCCAAAGTGACTCCTTAAGGAGAAGAGTGATTGCACAGTCCCCTCCTCCACTTTCCCAGGGGACCCATCTGGCTTCAGCTTCTGCCTTCCATCCATCACGATAAAGCACACTGTGTTCACAGCCCTCTAACAGTGCAAAATGGCTATTTATGACTTCAGGCTGCCAGCATAGCTCCCTCCTGGGGCCTTCTGTGTTCTTCTGGGTCCTCAAAAACTTTCTGCCTTAAGGAGCTTCGTGGCTCATCCTCTCTGAAAAGTCCCTGCTGCTTTGCTTAGGGGTAAGAGGACAACGAGGTTCTACCACTGAAGCAGAGTGCCTGACTCTTTTAGGTCAGATGGGGGAAAGAGACCCAAAGAGGTGACACAACTTTCCCATGTTTCAGTAGCAGGGGTGGGACTAGACTATAGCTCTGTATTCTTTTTACTCTGTCATACCATCTCTCCCTAATCCCTAGGGTTTGCCTCAACTAAAATCTAGACTGAGACATAAAGAGAACTAATCTGTCCCAGGGATCTCAGAGACTTAGGACTTTGAAGCGCCAGGTATTGGGAGGCAAGAAAGAGATGTGGGGCTGAAAATAGGATTAATGGGAAATCTGTAAACATAGTATTTGGTCCCTGCATGGCCCCCCCACCCCCACTCCCCTCCCATTATCTGTAGTGACATGCAGCCATTTATCTGGTAAAAATGTTTTAAATTTTTAGACTCCATACTGGTTGGTTTTACGCTTTACTCTTAAATCCAGAAACTTTTATGGAGAGGCAGAGGCAGGAGGGCCTGGTAAGTGTTGTTGGGTAGAAAAAATGTATCCTTGTATTTTTTAAACACAAGAATCAAGTCATCATCATTCCACTCAGTCGCAGTTTGAACAGGCAAGCTGTTCCAAAATTTCACCCTGGGATTCTCATCAGCTTCCCAGTGGTGAACATCAGTGGACATTATTTGAGAATTCAGAACTGTCTAGTTGGGAGTTTCTTCTATTTTGGGCAATAGAAACACCAGACAATAAGCCAAGAATATGATTCCATCAAAGTTCTCCAGTAATTTAAAAAATAAAAAATAAGTGGAGACCTCCTGCAGTAATGTGACATGCATATCTGAATTCCTGGAATATATACGTTAGCTTGTGCCAATTTCTGTGGCAGTGGAAAAATAAATGGTATAATAATTAAAAAATAATCCTCCCCCTTAAGAGACCGATGTTTAAACAGGAATGTCTCTATTTTTTTTTTAATGTTTTTATTGATTTTAGAGAGAGAAGGAGGGAGAGGGAGGGAGAGAAACATGGATGAGCTCCTGCACACTCCCTACTGGGGATGGAGCCAGCAACCTGGGCATGGTGCCCTAACTGGGAATGGAATTGCCGACTTCTTGGTACATGGGATGGTGCTCAACCAACTGAGCCACACCAGCCAGGGCTGAACAGGAATGTCTCTAGGCTAGCAATCAAATCGCTCCTCACCCAGTCTATGTGGTGACACTGATAACTCTGCATTTCTGCAAGGCCGTTGGGTTTGGTGAATTTTGTGGATATATAGGCATTCCAAAAATAGAGACAGATGTCACTCTTCTTGGACTTTCTAAAGATAAATTAAGTGGCATTCAGGGGGAAAGTCTCTCATCTGGGGGCTGCATGGGTACCATCCAGGAAGAAAGCTGGATCCAAATTCAGGGTGAATGGTGATTTGGTCCATGAGCCAAGAGACAAAAGGAAACCTTCACTAGATCACAAAATTACAGAATGATAGACCATCTGTATTGCTAACAAATTATGCCAGTGTCTTTGTGTTTTTTGTTTGTTTTTTTGGTTATCCATCCAACCTAAGCCTCTCCTTAGGCCCCAGGAAGTAAAAATTATCACCAAACACCTGGTTACTCAGGCGAAAAGTTTAGGGGTCATTCCTGAGTCCTCTCTTTCAACCTCACTATCAGCTAGCCATTCCCTCTGCCTACGAAACATCCAAATTGTCCATTTTTCTCCATCTTAACCTTTAAAAGATGGCATTTAAATTCCCGTAGTGGGGTCCCCCAGCCGGAGCTTTTTTGGGCATTTAAATTCAGCTCTGCAGGCATTTACTTTTTTGCCTCTATCTTATCTATTTTTTGAGTTATTTATGAAAAGTAAAAACATTTATAAAAAAAATGTATTGTCTATTATTAAAGTTATTTTTTAATATATGTTACTGATGTTAAGAAATATAAAAATTACATTTACAATTTAAATTACATTTTTTAATACAAAAAATACACATTTCATTTTTTATTATTACATTTTTTTAACGTTTCACTCTTGGAAATGGTCTTCAAAAAGTTCTTTTTATTCTAAATTAGTTTTTGTGTGAAATAATTTGAAACAGTTGTCTATACACAGGCCTACGTTGCACTTTGAGCATCAAAAACCCGTGCGACTTTCTTTGCCGCGAAGTGAGCATACACGGCATCTGGCTTTCTTTCCTCTCTCTATCCAGTGCTCGTTCTCTCTCGCGTCAAAGCAAATGCTGTTTGTTGACGCAGCAGCAGGCTGGCCTATCAGGCAATAAGTAGGTTGATTCTCCTCCCTAGCGGCCTCCAAAAGATTTCTCACGAGCGCCAAACAAAAATCTCGATGGGTCATCTTGCTCCCTACAGAAACAAAGGCAATCCATGAATTTAGAATAGTCAGATCAAGGAGGTGAAAGAATAACTTTTTCGTCCACTTCCAAGTTTGTCTGCTAATGGAGTAACTATTAGCCATTCTGTCGGATTTATCAACGTAACCCAGATGTTTGTTGTAGTCTTTCATGACTCCAGGTTTCAGAGCTTTCCCCTGGCTATCACAGAAGTTCCTCTCTTCAGGTGGCACGTGCATATTTGTCAACATATGGACATTTCTTTTATCTCTCCAAATAATCGCCGTTAGATCTCGTCTGCATCTCACCTTCACATCTCCGCGTTTCATTTTCAATTTCTTGTCTTTGAATTCTTTCGGCAAACCAATTCGATTTGCTCTAACTGTCCCACAGCAATTTATTTTTATTTTCCTTAGGTCATCGAAAAGTTCAGAAGAAAAAAATTATCCATCATAAGCTTAAGCCCCCTTCCTTCCATTCTTCTCGTCAAAGTTTTCACAGTCGCATGCGTAGCTGTTATGTCTTTTGCTGCGTTTTGCCTGTCCTTCCCCAGGTAAACAGTCATATCTACTGTATATCCCGCTGAGTCACACAACTTATAGATTTTTATTCCGAACCTCTCATGTTTTTTTGGAATGTATTGTTTGAAAATCACTCTGCCTTTGAAAAGAACAATGACTTCATCCACTGCTAGGTACTCTGAAGGCCTGTAAAGTTTAGAATATTTTTCATTGAGAACATCAGAAAGGTTTCTTGTCTTCCAGAGTCTATCATAACTTTCATCATTCCTGTTCGGTTCATTCTCATTGTTTGTGAAATGTAAAAATCTAAGGATATGTAAGAACCTATCGCGTGCCATTGCCATAGAAAGGGGTGTAAAACTGTTCCAATCGTGCCCAATAGTCTTTTAGAGAATCTCGGATATCATGTCCCATTTGAATCACAATTGCCAAAAAAGTACACATTTCAGAGTATTTTATGTCAGGTTCCAGAGATGATCCAACTTCCTTTTTCTGTATAAACTGGGAGTAATATCTGTTTGTCTCAAGCACTAGCAGGCGAATAACTTCTTGAAAATAGAGGAAAAATACTGTCATGGGTGAGGAACCTGCCGTGGTATTAGGAGCTTCATTTGCATTCAAACCCTTTTCACCACCGGAAAAAATGAATGGATGTTGAAATACGTAGCTCCTTGACTTTTTCACCCACTCCTTTGCCTGAGTTTGAGCTAAGTCTTGGTCGATGCTGCCATCCTCTTCCTTGGAGCTGTCATTGTGCGTCGGAATCGCTGTCTGCGAAAAGTTCCTCCATAATTTCACTCTCTTGTAATTTTCTTTTGCGATTCATGGTGATGTTAGAGTGTTTTTTTCCTGAATAAAAATGCAGCGAATAAATACAAAAATATATGCACACAAAGATTTTTATCCAAGTGAGGATTGCTTCGTGGAGAAAATTTTCAATTACGAAATGTAAGTAATACATACCGAAATAAATGGAGCAGTCAATAAAAAGCCAGCCAAAGAATCAGGAGAGTTTGAATAAATGCTTATAACACTCAGACAACTTTGAGGGAACTGTTCGCCATCGAAGTAGCAGGGGAACTAAAAAATCTTAGCCCAGAAGAGACAGCAACAGCGAGGGGAATCCAAGGCCTAAGCTTGTTGTATCCTCCTCAGATAAGGGCCAGGTTACACGTCGAAAGGGGCCTGTGTTGAGCGAGGGGAATCCCAGGCCAAAAGTTCCTTGTCAGACACTCATAAGAAAGTGCCCGCGCAGCATGTCAGAAGGGGGAGGTGTTGAGCGAGGAGGGGAGTTCCAAGACAACGTTTGTTGTTATAGATACTGCCCAGAAAAAGGGGGGCGGGCTAGCAGGTCAAAAGGGACATCTGTTGAGAGATAAATAGTCCTGACATCATTACGCACTCCAACCATCATCATAGAAGGAGCGAGAAATAACTCAAATGAAGTGGGAAGGAAAGTTCCCATTCCGCCAGCGGGACCCACTCCTTGCCAGGAACTACAGTTCCCTTTCCGCGGATAAAGGTTAACCACGGTCACCCCAGTCACAGCAACACTTCTCTCTCCCGGACTGCTTGGTCTGTTAGCTGATATCCCTGCTTTCACTCTTGCCCCTCCCCCCGACAGCCTACATTACCTACAGATTAAAAAAGAGCTCACTTTCCTGCTGAAAACCCAGGGCCTGCCGCTGCACCCGGAGTAAAACCCCAAAGCTTCACCGCGGCTCCTCCGGCGCTGCGTCCGCCCTCC